ACGAGAGCAAGAAGAGATATTTGATCTCGACTATCATGTTCTCTTATGGCAGTTGTTGATTCAATATACTGTGACATGACTCCCGAAAGCGGGAATATCGAAGCCGGAGCGAGACCTGCGACTGAAAGTATTAGGTCAATTGAAAAATCCAATGATTTCATCGGGACTTGAACCCGCGACCTTCCGGCTTGTAGCATAGTGTCTCAACAAACTATGCTACCGCGTGGGTGTGAGAGGTAAAATATTGTGACATGTTGACCCCTACCTCCCCAGCTTCACGTAGCGGTAACGTAACGCTCGCGTAATAGGCGAGTAATCACCCCGCATCCTGGCAGCTATGCGCGGTGACGTCACGAGCGGAGCCAAAGAGAGCCGAGCGGAGGAGGNTACGAAATGTCGAAATTCCATCAGTTTTCTTTCCTTCAGAGACATAATAGGGCTAATTTGGTAAGTAGGACCTACTATCATATATTCATCATCTTTATTCTTAAACTCTAGTAAAAGTTGTAATTAAAATTGTGAAATTTTATGTCCCATTTAATATTTAAGGTCATATTTTACACTTTTTAGGTCATATTTGACATAATTTTGGGTCATAAGTGCATGCATATATTTATAGTTTTTAGGTCATAAAAATCCGGGCCCTACTGATGAATATGTAATTTGATGTGTAAAGTTAGTGTGGTAATTTGTTTTGATCATACCAAATGTTACGAATGGTATCAAATGACTGATCCTTTGGAACCTTAAAAGTCCAGAGCCTGTCCGTGGCAAACAAATGCATCTTGTACTGGGAAGTAGAAATGTGTAGTTTTTTATGACTCTTGTATTTTAGTATCATTAAGGTCGGTTTAGACAAAAATCCCTCTGCAGTTTCATGAAGTAAAGATTAAAGTTCTTTTTTTTTTTTCCAAAGCATTCCATTGTAATTGTACATGTATTGTGTTGGTGCAGTTCCTGTAATTTAAATTTCTTTGTAAATAAAATTGTAATTTGTAGTAGTATGTTGATAAATATAAGTACTGTTATTTTAAATTGGCAGTTCCTAAATCTTAAAAAAAATACACTGAACTCCCCATTATGTAGCATATATGGGGAATGCCATATGCTGATTACATGACTCTGCTGGTTGCATATTTCTCATGTTTCTCCCTGTCTCTTAGATCCAGATTCTGAATCCTCGTCAGTGCTTTGTTCTTCTCTCACTTTGAGAACCCAAGTTTCATGGCATTGTATAACATAACTAAGATTATACAGTAGAAGGTAAAAAAAAAGGTAAAATTGTGCCTACCACTCCATACAGATATATTGGGGAGTGGAGGTATAGCCCCACCATTCTTGACCTCGGCACTAGGTGGAGGTGAGTGGTCAGTTTCATGTCCCTGCGGCTTGACACCTGGGGATGGCGTGCCTGATACCCATTTGATAGGCAGCTGGGTTGGCCCCAGAGCTGGTCTGGATGCCTTGGAGAACAGTAAGATCTCTTACCTCTACTGAGGATCGAATCCCAGCCATCCACCCCATAACCCTTTGCTATACCAACTGAGCTATCCCAGCTAGAATTATGCCGTTGAACCTTAATAAAGTGGAAACCTGTCTTAACTGAAGTAGTTCTCTGGTCCCAGTGATAAGGAGAGATATTTACAGTAAAATTTACCTGTAAGAGTCAAAGTGCCTACTATGAGAACAAGGGAAAAGTAAATATATGGAATGGAATATGTATTGGAAGTTTCATTATATATTGAGTTGCCCAGCCTTGCTTGCATCTTTTAGGTCAAATGATATGGGCCACATTTGGGAGCTTTGGATCATAAGGATATGGCCACTTGTCTGTGATAAACATTCCATTTTGATACTGCATGGTTGCAGGAGTGGATTTCAACATGAAGCATGTTAGACTTGAGTACAGAACTGGCTGATGTGAAAATCACAGTTTGAGTGTCAAATTACTGGAAACTGGGACACTGATGAATCTATAAGTTTTAAATAGTTCAATGGAGACCAACATTGACTGCTTAAATTATAGAATCATAAAGAATGCATTTGATAAATATTCATTTTTCCATCTTTTTGTTAAATATTTATCATTGAGTTGCAGTATTACATCTTTATTATGGAGAACGTTAATGAATTATGGGTATTTTGTGATAGAGATTATACAGTATGTAGTATACAAACTTTTAATGCACATGTCAATTACAATAATAAATAAACACAGAAATATGACTTAATAAAAACATTCACGTGGACACAGGAAGATGTTCATAGTACACCCATACGCACATGCACACACTTCATTGATTCTCACTTGTTGCATTTAATTATTGGCACATCATATAAAATTAATTAATTCTATAGATTTCTTTCAGAGTGATACTGATTATGAATATTAAAAAAAAACTGAATAATACTCTGCATGATAAATTTTACAGAAAGCAAAAAAAAATTGTGATGTTCTTGATGCATAATGTCTTGGCAAATGAGTACACTTTTGATTACGTAAAACATTTTAAATGCTGTCAGGTCTTCCTAGTCTTCTTCCTTAAGGTATACCTGAAGCGGGTTGAGACCTTTCCTTCTTGATGCTGATGTTGTATTCACAGGTACTGTTAACAGGAAATGTACAGCAGGTCAGGGTGGTGATGAAATATGCAGAGCTCTGAATATGAATAGAAGAGTAGAAGACAAAGTGACTGAGCACTTAAGCAGACTGTGACATAGAAGAAGTCACAGACAACATAAAAACAATGAAATTGTCATCAGTTTATATTTTAATGTAAAAGTTTATGTTATGTATCAAACAGCCGTACCTAAACAGAGTAATGTGTAGGTTTTGAGCCCTTAAATGGAGGATCACTTCATCATAAGCTCTCTGTCTTTACACTCCAACAGAAGAACATGAGTAACAATCCATGCCCCAGGTGGAATTTTAAAAGTTGATTCTGATATAAGTGTTTTATTCGTTCACTCCGTCTAATGCAGTGTGTTGTAATAAAATGATAAACATTCCCCACCTGTGACACTTAATAAATTAAATAAGGCTTAAATAGCTCTTTGATTATGTCAGGATAGAGAGAATTTAAATGTTAAAAGACATAATATGCTGGTGTTTGTAGTAAGCAGTTAGATTAACACTTTTCAGACCGGTGATTTAAATATTTAAATCGCCCTGGGGACCGGCATTTTTAAACCTACTACCCTAATTTGTGCACTGTTCACTTTAAAAATTAATATAAAATCTCCAAATTAATTTTATGAACTACAATTTTTGGAGAACACTTACCAATGCTCCTAGAAGTGCTTGAGAATGTGATATATTTGGAAACATTCCCCTTTGTAAAGTGGCATTACACAGAACTTGCATATGTAGACAGTCATACTCCTTTTGTTGTGTACTGCGCAAACACGGCATCGCCTAGAAGGCTGCTTCCCCTTGACATGTTCACTCTTCACAATTTTCACGAGGGTATGTTTCTGCATATCACCCGAGAGTCGCCCAGGGGAGTCCACATGAGGCCTGCGTGGGGTGGGAGTTGATGGACCCGGTCACCCTAAGTCTGTGTCTGCCGCCACCGTGTGGTCTGTAGCCCAGGCTTTTGCCACATTCAGCAGAAATGTCTTGTATTTCAATTTTGAATGAGGGTTTAGATTTTTGAAAACCAAAAGTGAATTGAAAATGGCACAATTTATAAGCCACAAGGCAACTTTCTTTGTCCACTTTACTGTTTTCCAAAGAAGAGAATAATAGGCCAAGTACTGATCGGCTGTATCAACTCCCTTCATGAACATATTATACTCGGAAATACAAACAGGCTTCTTTACTTGTCCATGTATCCTTTGAACATCAACCATGCTCGAATTGTGAATTGTGGATTTGGGTCCGATGGAATTTGCTTCACCCCTGGATTTCTAGTAAACTGTCCCAAAGCAGGCGTTTTGTCTACTTTCCCCATGTGGCTGTCCCCACAATGTTGCTACCCGCACTTTCGTCGGAGCTACTGTCACTGTCACTTTCACTGTCTGCAGCCACAATTTTTTTTTTCGCCCCTGCCACACTCACTATCAGATTGTGAGTCGCTATCACTAGCAGACTCACAAGGGACGTCACATAGCTCATGGGAGAACAAGTCAGATATTTCTTGTTCTCTGAGAAAACGCTTGGACCTTAACCTCTTCCAACCTTGATCCATTTTGCACTAGTAACTTCCTGCCTGGTGCATGCAGCTGGAAGATGAACAAAGGCATTTTCTTTTGGAGTGAGAAAGGAAAACAGTTGGGTCATAAACAGCGGGGTCATGTTACTGACTACGAAGCAAACATTCAAGAGGTTTATCACACACCAGTCATGCGTCTGCCTGGTGCCAGTGCAAGGTATAGTGTGTTTCAACATAATGTGTCCTAAAATCATAATATGCCAGCGGTCTGCCACGTTTAAAAGCGCTCAGCATAAAAATATGCCACCGGTCCGCAAGTGTTAAAATAATAATGACTGTATGATAAATGACCTCTGGATGAAACATAAAATTAATTACAAAGTTCCTGACGGATGACTAACCTGTATTGGTGCGCTGTGTGCTGAGACAGTTCAGCCACTCTGTGATGCTGATTTTGCGATCATTGTTGACATCACAGTAGCGCGGTAGACGCTTACCACAGCGACGTAGCTGAGGCTTTGAAGATACTAGGACTCGAAAGTTTTTCCATTCTTTCCTTTCTAGTACCTGAATAATGAGAGTGAAACAAGTATTAAGCTCAATACCACTTGCTTCTTATAATTCAGGATACTTTATTACATTTTATTTGTTTTATAATGAATTAATGTTATTAAGGTATGTGTACAACTGTTACAATGTCCATTTTGTATGTCAAATAATAATGATGTATTAATATCACCATCAAATCAAAAGATATATTGTGTGTGGACATACACACAGAGTATATTCACAGTACAGTCATAAATGCAGCTTTAGAGGGTATCGGTTGAATTAAACCAATAACCTGTGAAGCTGCATTGGAGACTATATTGGCACATGTATGAGTGACTATAGACAGGTTTTGGATTGGTAATTAGAAGTATCGAACACTTACAGAACATAACTATAAATAAGAATTATACTATCGCTCTTCTGCACACTTCACAAATCGCTGTAACCACAGTACGCATAAAGTCTTCTCAGTTTGCTGTGTCTTCACCAGTCATTGCTTGGTGACAGATCCCTACGGTGTCTTTTGCTTGCATGCTCACATTCTTACTGGCTGGCGACCGTCTCACAACTAACTCATTGCTCCAGCTCCCCTGCTTATAACATCTTGGCACAGACCACACAGAGAACACTGTTCCTGTGTTGTTGTCTCCATTCGTTGACATGGAAATATGCTTGTGTCTGAAGCTGTTAACTTAGTAACGGCTGTTGTATAGTTGCTTATCTCACGGTTGTTGCCCAACAAGGGGTCTACATGCCACAATATTTTTATCAAGTAATATAACATGTAGTTATGTTTTATTTAATTTTAACAAAAATTCCAATAATGAGATTTTATAGTGAATTTATTTCCTCCCCCCCCACAAGAGGATTCTCATCCAAAGCAAAGTACTTCCATGCTTACAGGATATGGAAAGATGAAAAATATATGGGTACAGTCCTACTTTATTCCGCATGTCTGACTTTGTTTACACTCTACAAGACATGGGAAGTGGAAAACATACTGGCACCATCATACCCCATTCAACACATCAATTGTGCAGTTTGTTTTTGCTCGGCTGGACACGAAAGTAGAAAGCATATCAGTACAGTCATATTCCATTCAGTATGACTGACTTACACAATTCGTTTTCACTCTACTGGACATGGAAAGTGGAAAACATGAGTTAATGCATGTTTCTAGCAGCACTTTTGGTGTGAATGCACTGGTACATTCACAGATCAGAATAAACTGAATTGAACGCTAATACTGTTATAAATTTGTATTAGAATCGATCTTGCTTCAAACTGTTAATCACCAAGTTCAGAGTGTTCATGATATGAAATAAACACCAAAATGAGGTGGTAGTCAATATATCATATAATTTCAAATACTAGATACTAGTTATAGATGATACAGTTGTATCATACAGTTGTCGTAGAGGTGCCATATTACAGGAAGCGAATAGATGGAATTTGAGATTCAGACCTTGTTCTTGTTCTTGTCCAACATAAGGAAGTTCCATGCTGCAATTTGTTCCTCAGTGGACTCTTGCCATGTTTCCTTAATGAGTACTGAAGAGCTGTAAACAATATATAAGATCATTGCATAACAGTGAAAAAGAAGTAGTACAGATTGAGTCATTACAAACTAGATAGAAGTCCATTCTCTTATTCTTAATTTTACTTTTGTTTTCTCTGTTTAAAAGAGCATGAAATGCCTTAAAGTGAAAGTACATGTGAATAGGTAGACTCACTGACTTAGGAGGAGTTTCAAGGTCTAGTGTAAATAGTTTTTCTGTCTCTATCTATAAACTATTATGCCTCATCACCTTACCTCTTTCTGCCACTCAGCTATAGCTACTGGGTTACAGCTGCTGCTGCTAGGACTGTAGTAAGACATCCTGGCCAATCAGACTGATGCAGCAGTTAACACTGACTTATAACAAATGTTTTCATTTCAAATCCTGGCTAGATATCAACTATCCTGACTGACGTTTCTTTGTCTCTAGGTGAATGTCAGAATGGAACCTTGAAATATGAAGGATGATCTTCCAAACCTTTACTTGCACACCACTTAATGATAGTTTCCTGATCTCATTTAGCACTGTATGAACTGTGCAACTGAACCACTGTCATTATATAGCAGCATTTAGTATCGAGGTACATTTAAAGAAGCAACACAGCTGTCAACTCTTTCTGGAAGTGAATGGGCAACATTCAGCAATATATGGCAAGTAAATACCATAAGTTGCTGAGAAGTTGAGTGTATTTCTGACAGCTTTTCCAAGAAATTATCTAGTCTTCAGTAGTTGACGTATGTCCAAGGAAGGATGGAGGACTTGTAGCAATTTTGAGGTTAATGTGAAGAGATAACCATTGTACTACCATTGTGTCATGTTCATATATCAATGTCAGTCATTTTAACTAATTTGACCACTGTGTTCCATCTACACAACTCTAAGAATGTATACTCATTCAACTGTTTATTAATAATCAGTACATGTTTCAACCATCCAACTGGTCATCATCAGGTGATTCAATACATAACAAGTGTTTTTGAATTGCAACCATTGCAACTAACATATGGGCCAATATTTACAATCGTTTCTGTCTACTCTCTGTGCTGGATGTGTTAATATAAATTGTAAAATTATAAAATTATAAAATTGCTACATTATAATGTAGATTAGGTATAACTGATCACATAACAATGAAGCAAAATTATGTAAAATGTTTTCTGAGTCAGAAGTGCTATAAGGGTATATATAGTCCTTTCTTCTCTAATGATTATCATTCATGATACATGTGACACTTTGGAATAGATAGATGTGTGTTGTTACTTAGCCTACTAGGCTATGGACTTTCACTTGTCTACCCTTGGGCTATTTGGCTTGTAAGTATTGTATCACCTGATGATGACCAATTGGATGGTCAAAACTTGTAGTGATTATTAATAAACATTTGAATGGGTATACATTCTTTGAGTTGCATGGATGGAACACAGCAATTAGATTAGTTTCATCACACAACAGGATGCACTGTATAAAGTTTGTCAGTCATTTTGTAACTGTTTTATTTGTGTTTAAATTTTTTGGAATAATGGCAGACTTCTTCATTTTATACTGCTGCTTATGTACGTCTAGAATTATAGCACACAGAATTCTCAACATCAGATATAAATATGAAGAAGGGTACATGATACACGTTCCCATGCTTTCGTAACATTGAGTTTTGGGAGTGTGGGCTTTTAGATTGTGACAGCATGTAAATATTGTAGGTGGATCATTTCAGAGGCACATAATGCCTCAATTTTCAGGGTTGGCTCAACTCTGAAATGGAGGCAGATTGTCTTTGTAGAGCATTTGTTTCCACTTAACAGGACTACACTGTGCAATTCTGAATTGGAAGCAGCATGTGCTTCTGAAATAATGGTATTCACATACACTATACAGAGGAACCTCGCTTAACAAGCACCTCTCATAATGAGTAAATCAAATTGTAAAAAAAAGACTCGCTTAACGAGTGACGAGAGGGGAAGTCCAGGTTTGTGCGCTTGCTATATCAGTCTGTGTTTAGCACTAATTCCGCTAGCATCTTAGTGTCGCTTGTGATCACACATTTTTCCAAACTTGTGTTCAGACATATTATTTGTGATTTTTTTTTGTGCAAAGTGTATTAACCCTTGCAAAAATGTTCCCAAAGAAAAAGCTGCAAAAAGACAGCCATAAGAGAATAAAAATAACCATAGAAATCAAACGTAAAATCATTGAAAAGCAAGAATGAGGTGTGAGCATGGCTGATCTAGCATGCACATACAATCGGTCAACATCAACGATTTGCACTATCCTCAAGAACAAGGACAAGATTAAGGAGATAGATGCTTCAAAGGGAGTGACAAGAATATCTACACAACGGTTATGTATTCTCGACGATGTTGAAAGGTTGCTCCTCATATGGATAAACGAAAAGTAATTGCAAGGCGACACTTTTAACAAGAACATCATTTGTGAGAAGGTGAAAGTGATTTTCACCGACCTCGTTAAGAAGACGCCAGGATCATCAACAGCCGAAGAAGAAGCATTTAAGGGAAGCCGTGGATGGTCCGAGAAGTTTAAGAGAAGAACCAGCATCCACAGCGTTGTAAGGCACAGTGAAGCAGCAAGCTCAAAGGCAGCAGAGAACTTCATCGGTGACTTCAAGAAGCTCGTAGAGTCTGAGGGTTATCTGCCGCAACAGGTTTTTAATTGTGACGAGACAGGTCTCTTCTGGAAAAAGATGCCAGAGCGAACCTATATAACAGCAGAGGATAATGCATTGCCCAGCCATAAGCCAATGAAAGACCATCTCACGCTGCTATTTTGTGCCAATGCAAGCGGCGATTTGAAAATTAAACTTCTGCTTGTTTACCATTCACAAACTCCATGAGCCTTCAAGAAGTGTAAAGTCCAGAAGTGATGTTTAGGTCCAACAACAAGGCTTGGGTGACACGTGACCTTTTTACTGATTGGATCAATGAAGTGTTTGGTCCTTCTATGAAAAAATATTTGCTTGAGATGAATCTGCCACTCCATGTCTTGCTTGTTATGGACAATGCTCCTGCCCATCCTCCAGACCTACAAGATGACCT